TGAAGAGGGGAATGACACAGGGTCTGTGACAGAGGGTGGAACATGTGTTAGTACTTTGTGGTATATGGTGACTTTCCCCTGAGCCGGCACATCCATCCAGGCAGCACCATTCTGCTGAGCATCCCAGGTCACCGACACCAAGCAGGTGGGAGGCGACTCTGGCTCTGCTAAAACAAAGGTGGAGGCGGAGCTATTAACTATATATTGATAGATAAAATCTTAGGTGCGTATCTAGCCTCCATCAGCGTAATGTCTTTAATGCATTTATCCTCACAACCCCCTGGTGAGGGAGGGCAGTGCTCTTATCCCCAGGGTACAGCTCCTGTCCCTCAGAGAAAGAACAACAGCGTAGAAAATTACAGAGAAACTCCTTGCTGAGGGGATCTGAGGTGACACAGAAGAAACAGAGCGGTGTTAACCCGGATGGCAACTTTGCACAGAAGTTTTGGTATCTCTCTGGGAAAGCCCAAGTTGGTTCTTTGGGATGGCAAGTCCTCTTTTCCTGGCCCCATCACAGTCCCGTTCTGAGGACGTGGATGAGACTGGCCAAGATCCCGGTGGCCATCACCAGGTAGCTGGTTTTCACACTGCTGGCCCCACTGAGGTTGCAGAAGGAATGCTCACAGCAGGAGGTAGAAATGGCGGCTACGCCGAGGTTCAGGTTTGTTTGGGGACACACCGGAGAGCATTTCTTGGTGATGCGGTGCCCCTTTTTATCGCCTGAAGGGGGAAAGAAAAAACAGAGAAGAGATTTGTTATCAAAGAGCCCCCCAGGGGTCCAGCAGCCCTCTCTGTAGAGGAGAGAATGGTCTTAAAGTAGCTAAGCAACAAGGGCCAATGGAGACGGGCATGATTGGTAGTTTTGCCTCAGGCTTTTAACCCAGCCAGTGTTTATCTGCTATTCCGTGCCCTGGGGACACTCAGCACAGCAATCACCCGTCTCTTGCTAGTATTCTGGGAACATCCTCTCCAGAGCCCTGACTATGGCTGTGGAACAGCCAAAAGAAAGACCCTCCCCAAGGCAGAGACCCCTTCCCGGGATTCAAACTGAGCCCATTGCATGCTGGGGAACAGGGGGTTGAGGCCTGTTGTGTGGACACCGGGGCAGTGCGAAGCTGGTCAGTCGAGCTGACCAGTCATGTGCCTCACTACCGTAGGTTTGAAGTGTGGCTGAGACAAGGCACAGCACCTGTAGCAATACAGAGAGCAAGGATTAGGGATAGCTCAGTGGTTTGAGCATTGGCCTGCTAAACTCAGGGTTGTGAGTTCAATCCTTGAGGGGGCTATTTAGGGATATGGGGCAAAAATCTGTTGGGGACTGGTCCTGCTTTGAGCAGGGGGTTGGACTAGATGATCTCCTAAGGTCCTTTCCAACCCTGATATTCTACTCTATGATTCCTTGGCAAAGTCCTGGTAGGATTAAAGGGACACCACCCCTCAAGGCTTTTGTGCATGCACCCTACAGACACTTCTTTTTCTTGAGCATCAAGATGAGGGGATTGGATTTGTGCCTGTAAATCCTGTTCTCCGAATGGGTCCCTCCCCGGAGTGCACATATGTGAGAAAGTGGAAATGTTCTCAATGTTTTTTCTGAATACTGTGTAGGTGCCTCAGTTTCCCCTATGCATTTCTTAAGTATCTAGGTGGTGGGGTAAGAGTGTGTGATTGTTGCAAAGCCTTAGAGGGCCAGTGTGATGCTGTCTACACAGAGAATGGCCGACACCCTGTCTCCTATCAACTAATGGCCTGGGCCCCTCCCCTGCAAAGGTGCCAACTGAAGGTGTTGGAGAACAAAGGGATGAGGTGACCTCCTGGCCCGGAAACGAGACAAAGGCCAGAGGAGGGGCTGGAGAGTTTCAGTTTGGAACTGGCCGGGGAAACAGAGGGAGCCCCAGGGCTGGGTTCTAAGCTCTCTGCCCCCCAAGATGGACCTGACTGAGGGGGTCCTGTTCTCTGTACCTACAAGCTCTATTTTGGACTGTGTTCCTGTCGTCTAGTAAACCTTCTGTTTTACTGGCTGAGAGTCATGATGAATCTCAGGAAGTGCGGGGTGCAGGGCCCTGACTCCCCCTCACTCCATGACAACGTAAGTGAGGAATTAGCCTCTTGGATTGTTTGCAGTTTCCTAAGGCCCAGCGCTTTGCTCTCCATGTGCTATGCTTAGCACTCCTGAGTGATTATTCGTTCTTTCAGAAGGAGGACGAAAGAATCCAACTGGCTGGCATGGGGGTGAGACTGAGTGACCTCCTGCATCCTAAATAAATGGATACCTGTCACTCAGACACCATGGCGAGCAGGGGCTTAGGAAAACCTCATTGAGATAATTGCGGGTACTCACCAATCCCTCCAGACGCATATATTGTGAGGCAGTATTTGTCAGTGTCGGCACACTTAGTCCCTTTCACACAATTCCAGTTGGAGGGCTCGTCGTTACAGGTGTAGCACCAGAAGGAGGCCGCTGAAAAAGGAGCACACAACCCAGCTTAGCCGCTTGTGGAAACGTCCTCTTCAGAGGAGAGGACCCAAAATGTTTCCATTTTTGGAAAAGGGAAAGAGAAAAGGGGCGGGGGGGGAGGGACCAAAACAGAGCAAACATTTTCTATTTGAAATTAAATGCCACCGAAATGTTAGTTTTAATTTGTCTGGACAGAGAATTCTAGGAACAATTTCAGCCAGAAGGAAAATTTGCAAATATATGCAGCCATTACTTCCCATGTTTTGACCAGCCCTGGCTTCTCCCATCTACTTCCTTGACTCACACAAGCCAATGATCTAACTCTGCATCTCAGTGTCATGCTGAGCAGGACCCTCAACTGACCCATCTCTGCCTCCATCCCACAACCATCTCTCTTTCTCTGCCAGGCCGGGCCGGCTTTAGGCCAATTCAACCAATTCCCCTGAATCGGGCCCTGCGCCTAACAGGGCCCCGGGCCCAAGCCCCGGTACGGCGTACCAGTGTGGCCCGGCTTCCACAGGAGGCAATTTAAGGGCTCCCAGCAGGGTCTGGAGCCCAGGCCCTTTAAATTGCCACCCAGAGCCCTGGGGTAGGGCTGCAGGGCTCTGGGGGCTATTTAAAAAGTCCAGGGCTCCCGCTGCTTCTACCGCCCCAGCCCTTTAAATAGCCGCGGGAGCCCTGCCGCTTCCCCAGGGTTCCTGCGGCTATTTAAAGGGCCGGGGCTGTAGAAGCAGGGGAGCCCTGGGCCCTTTAAATAGCCCCCAGAACCCTGGGATAGTGGGGGGCTAGGGGGCTATTTAATGGGCCAGGGCTCCAGCTGCCTCTGCTGCACCCCCTGCCCGCAGCCAGACGCTGCTGCACCCCCTGCCCTGCCTCCAGCCTCACACCCCCTGACCTGCCCGCACCAACCCTGCACCTCCTGTTCTGCCTGCACCAGCCCCGCCCCCCCGCCCTGCCTGCAGCCAGCCCCTGCCGCACCCCCTACCCGCAGCCAACTCTTGCCGCACCCTCTGCCCTATCTCCAGCCAACCCCTGCCGCACCCCCTGCAGCCCTGCCCGAAACCAGCCAGCCCCACACCCCCTGCCCTGCCCGCAACAACCCTGCACCCCCTGCCCTGCCTGCAGCCAGCCCTGCTCCCCCTGCCCTGTCTCCAGCCAACCCCTGCCGCACCCCCCTGCCTGAAGCCAGCCAGTCCCACACTCCTCTGTCTCCAGCCCTGCCAACCCCTGCCACACACCCCTGCGACCCTGCCTGAAGCCAGCCAGCCCACCCCACACACCCCTGTCTCCAGCCAGCCCCGCATCCCTTGCCCTGCCTCCAGCCAGCCCCATGTCCACTGGTGCCCTGCAGTTCCCAGGGCAATAACCCTGCACACCTGCTTCAATGAGGGGGCCAGCGAGCAGCTGGGACCCACACATGTGCACACGCCCCCAGGGAGTGGCAGGGACCCACACATGTGAAACAGAGCTCATTAATAACTGATCAACAGCATATATGATGCAATGTACATAATATATAATTTTATTATTTATATAGTTATGGAAATTAAATAATACATGGAAGAAATGAAAGGCTTTTTTTTTACTTTTTTTTTTTGGTTAGTCATCCCTGCCGGGGCCCCGCCGAAAATGTTCGAATTTCCAGAACCCACCATGCCCCCACCCCATTCTCCACGAGGCACGCCAGGGCTCGGGATTTCTGCGCTGTGGAGAAGAAGTGGGCTGTAGTCCACGAAAGCTTATGCTCTAATAAATTTGTTAGTCTCTAAGGTGCCACAAGTACTCCTGTTCTTTTTGTGGGGAGCGCTGGAACTCGGGGCTCCAGGCTTCAGCCACAAGGTCCCATCGACCCCCTGAAACTGTCTCGCGGACCACCAGAGGGCTGAGGACCTCTGGTTGAGAATCACAACAGCATCAGGCTGGACTCAATATTTGAAAATATTTACTGGAGTTCTGCTCCGGACCGCTCTGGCTGAATTTAAGCCCTGGTAACAACACATTCAACTCACAGCCTGGCCAGGAATCTGCTGAAATAGACACTGGGCTTGGTTAAGAGCCACCTATTTGCCTGCAAATGAATTCATACTGGAGAGACACCATCTGGCTGCCTCCCACTGAGGATCCCAGGAGGCTGGAACTGCTCCTGATTTCTGGGCCAGAACCGCAACTGACTGAGAGCAACTTCAGGGACCTGTTGTCTTAGCCTGTTCTGCGCTCTCATCTCATCAGTTGAAGGGCTGGGGGCAAGAATAGTAAGACATTTTCTAAATGTTTGTTACCGTGTGCAAGTAGAGGCATTTGTAGTGACCCATCTCTGTGACCCATTAGAGAGGATCATCTACTGTGCCTGCGACGTTACACATGATGTTCTTAGTGAGTTATTTTAAGGGGCATCATTAACCTGAACCATAACGGCTTGTCTACATGAGAAAGCTGCACCGGTTTAACTTAAATTGGTTTTAAACTGAATTATTTAAGCCAGTTGCAAACCCCTGTGTGAGTGCTTTTATTTTTGGTTTAAGAGGGACTTATTTCAGGTTAGTTTAAACCTGTTCCTAATCGACCTAAGCTGCATTGAAATATAAGCCCTTCTTATACCAAAATGAAAGCAGCCACATAGGGGTTTGCAGCAGTTTAAATAAATTGGTTGAAATTCACACCTTCAATTAAACCAGTGCAGTTTTCTCTGAAGACAAGCCCAGAGCCCATTTTTAAAAGGGAATTAAAATTCATTTCTGGTCCTATCCCTGTACCTGAATCCATCTATCAAAATCTGTGGGTTTATAATGACATTTTGCGATCTTTTAACATTTTCTCTCCCTGTCATGTGAAAGACTCACAATAGAACAGGGAAAACTGGCTGACCCCATAGTGAAAGAGTGAATCTGGCTCTACATAAAGTGCTGTCAAAGGTACAAAGTAAACAAACTGCAAAAAATAGGGACAAAGGGGTTTTTTTTCCCTCTAATTGCAGCTACAGTAACCCCAGGGGTCACCGATAACACTGTAGAAACAGGTCAGACCATTTTCGTTGACGACGCCCCTTTAAATTGCAACACTCTTGGGTTAGCAGCCGCCAAAGCATCTTCTTCACAGGTTGCTCCAGACGGGTTATAGCATATATACATGTCCCAGAGGCCCCCTTTCCCCCTGAGGTCTCCTATCCAGGCACTGAGCGGATTCAGCCCTGCCTTGGTTCCCGTTCTGCAAATCTACTACGTTGAGTAACCTCAGTGTGTAAATAGTCCTGATGATTGCAATGGGTTGACTCACACGCATACAGCGTCTCACATGTGCACTTGTTTGCAGGGTCAGGGCTTTAGCTTTTAAAAGCAGATGAGATCAGAACAGCTGGTGCAGAACGACCATCCCCTTGAAAGCATCCAACCTTTAGCCATGCAGCTAGAACTTACAGTTGATTGTGTAAAATTCTCATCTTCAGCTGCTGGAATAAATCTGCTTAATCATTGCATGCATTTATTTTTTAGTTTATTAAATTGGCTGTTACTGTGTAATGGCTCAGTCCTGCAAGGGGGGATGGACGGAGCACCTTGGGAGATAGGAGGGATCCCACCCAAGAGATAAGGCAGTGTCAGTGCATTAACTGTAGAATCTTTGCCACCGCTTCTGTAAAATCTCCCTGTGTCCCTGCCATGTCTAAACGGGGTTCTCTCTCATCTGCATGTTCTTTCTCTAGCATAGAGGAATTATTAGCTCACCTTGCTCCACGCACAGGACGGCAGCCAGCAGGGTGAAAAGAAAAGCCTTCATCTTCGCTACAGTCTTCGCACAAGGGCAGCTGCTCCGCCAGCTCCGGGGCAGTTTTTATAGCTCTGCGGTGTTTGTTTTAGGTTACTATGACGATGGTAATTTTAGGGTTCGGGGTGTCACATGGAGCACAACCCCAGGCTGATGGGTATGGGTGTGTGGGAGGGAGTTTAGTAATGCTAAGAATCAAGCTGGAATTTCCACTCCCTGATGTTCCTGTTTTACAAAGGAGCATGAGAACTGCCAGACTGGCTCGGCCCAGTGGCGTATCCAACATCCTCCTGTGTCCAACAGTGGTCGCTGCTAATTGCTTCAGAGGGTGGTGCAAATCAACCCGTAGCAGACAAAAGTAACCTCCCCGGATGGGAAGTTTCTGCCTGATCCCTTCAGTCAGTGTTTGGCTTTTGTCCTACAACATGAAAGGGTTGGATCTCAGACTAGGGAATGCCCATGAGAATTTGTATTTAATTATGCGGGGGTTTTAGGGTTTCATTCTTTTTTTATATTTTCTTCAAAACATTCTTGTGTCAGCAGCCTCACAGCCATTGAGGGAAATGCAAGGAGTGAAGGAATTAAGTTGAAAATACAATTCTTTTTTTTTTTTAGAGTAGCAGCCGTGTTAGTCTGTATCCGCAAAAAGAAGAACAGGAGTACTTGTGGCACCTTAGAGACTAACAAATTTATTAGAGCATAAGCTTTCGTGGACTACAGCCCACTTCTTCGGATG